TGCCTTAGCTCATTTAATCCTCACACACTCTGAAGTACGTACTCTTATTTTAGCCGTTTTACAGATAAGAACCTGGGGAACAAAGGGGTTAAGTAATTTGCACAAAGTCTCAACATCTCAAAGTAGCAGAGGTGAGATTTGGACCCAGGCAGTCTGGCTCCAGAGTCTGTGTGACTAGCCACAAAGCTTTGCCACTTCTCTAGCCTGCTCTGTTCTGGGCCTTTTCTGGATGATGATGGGGCCCAGAAGCCACTGAAGGCCCCTTGACTTGGGTGAGCACCCCATGGCTTTGCAGTGCCCCCTCCCCTGGGGGTCCCTGACAGTCTCCCTGACTAGGTCCTGGGGCTTGCTAAGTTGCTTCGACCTTTGCCTTCTCTTTGCCAAGACTTGAATCCTTTGAGTCTTTGCAGCCCTCTCAAGTTCTCTGATATTTTTTTCCACCAAGAGGTCTGAACCAAGCCGTGTGGCCCAACTACAAAGTGTTTTCCCTTTGGAGGAGAGAAGAAAAAAAAAAAAAAAGTCAGCCAAAGCTGAAAATATGCTGCTTCTGCTGCCCTCTGGCGTTCAGTTGGGAGCCGGCCCGCACACCCAGCTGTGAACCAAGGCGGGGACAGCAAAGCTTCTCTCTGCGGTAGAGCCCTGTTTCTTGGGTGAGAGAAAGGGAAATGGTGGGGGCCGTGCATTTTAGATCCTGAAGAAATGCAGTGGCTCTACTTCCAGAAACAAGCGAGGCCGACACATTAATTGACTGGAAGTACCAATATATTTTCATGTGTCCTCTGGCCAGCCTCAGCCCTCCATAGTTGGAATATGAAACCCCAAAGGGACTGCAGCGGCTAGTGAATCCCCCAGCTTGAATTTTTAAGATGTGTCCCATTTCCTATAGCATTTAATGTATGCAATGATGGCAATAATAGGGAATGACAGTTTTAATCCATTTCGTGGCTAAAGAAACTGAGGCTCTGAGAGATAAAATACGCACTCAGTTACACAACAGGATAAGTGGTTGACTTCCTGGCCTTGCGGAAAGACTTTCTACTCTGCTCCCTGCACTATATTAACGGCAGAGGAAAAAGAAAAAAAAAAAAATCCCTGGAGCTTGCAGCTGAATAATACTAGTACAGACGTACCTCCTCTATTGTGCTTTGCTTTACTGTGTTTCACAGAGTCTGTGTTTCTTACAAATGGAAGATTTGTGGCCGCCCTGTGTCAAGCAGGTCTATTGGTGCCATTTTCCCAACAGCATTGGCTCACTTCCTGTCTCTGCGTCCCAATTTGGTAATTCTCACAATATTTCAAACTTTTTCATGATCATATTTGTTATGGTGCTCTGAGATCAGTGATCTTTGCTGTCACTACTCTGACTCACTGGAGGCTCAGATGCCGGTTAGCATTTTTTAGCAATAACGTATTTTTTTATTTAAGGTATGTACATTGTTTTTTCATACATAATACTATTGCACACTTAACAGACTACAGTATAATGTAAACATAACTCCTATATGTACTGGGAAACCACAAAATTCACGTGACTCACTTTATTGTGCTATTCTCTTTACTGCGGTGGTCTGGAGCTGAACCCACAATATTTCCAACATGAGTCTGTATTTACTATGTACCAGACACTGTTCTCAACAAATCACACATATTAACTCTTTTAAACTTATGTTGTTTCTATAAAGTATACTTTATTATCCCCACTTTACTTATGGGAAGACTGAGGCGCAAAGAGGAATAATTTGTCCTGGATGCCACAGAGGGTAAATATAGAGACAGCACTCAAGCCTAGGCTGTGTGGCTCTGTTATCCAGGCCCTTAACCATGACCAGTCTGTGTCTCCCTGAGGCAAATAGGGAACCAGATCTGGGACAGATCTAGGAACAGACTCTGGCTATAACAGTCCCCTTGAGCCATGGCAAGATCGTGTCATGTCTCTAGGACCCTCACCCTGGGGTCTGGAGCCACAGGATGTTGTATAAAATAGTATCCCCATCTCCTTGTACTGCTTTGTTCTTCTTTAGGAACTTCCCGGCATTGTTACAGATTTAAATTTATTTATTGTTTACTCCTTGTCACCCTCACTAGAATATAAGCACCACAGGCATGAAGACTCCACTGTATTCACCTCTCAACGTCCAGTGCCTGGTAGTAGTGGATGCTCGGTACATAATCATGGAAACGCCTTTGGCAGGGCTAACAGCCGCCCCGCCCCCCCCCCAAGTTAGAAAGGGGTGCAGCAGGAAGGGTCTGGGGGCAGCTGTTATTGCCAGAATTATGGATAATTTTTAGGCAAAAGAGAGACTATGAACGAGTGGGGATGGACTGCCTTGGAAGTGAGGTAACAGGGTGACAACATGCTAGAGAACCAGGAAGGGTCTTGGAGGAAATCCCGAGTCCTGACTGACTGCAATAGGATGTCCTTCCTCAGGCCCTTCCAAACTCGGGTAGGGAATAGACCCCATTTTCAGTGCTGACAACAGAGGTCCATTGTGCAAGGGAAGGCACTGGATTCAAGGAGAAAGAAAAGCTTGAGGAGAATTCAGGTGACAAAGTGGGAAGTCAGGTCCCATGCTAAGTGAGCAGAACATGGTGCTGAGTCATCCCAGACTCCAAAGTCTAGCCCTTGGGACCGCAGAGGTCCATGAAGAGACTTACCCTCCCTGTTCCTCAGTTTCCTCTTCTGTAAAATGGGGATAATAATAACTCCTACCTCATGGGCCTGTTAGGAGACTTGGGTGAGGTACGGTATGTAAAGTGTTTAGGACAGTGCCTGGCACGCAGCAAGAGCTATATAAGCATTAGCTGGAATTACTACGTCTGTTCCCATTATTACTATCATAGGGAGCCCACCTTGAGAAGTGGGCTGGTTTTAGGGGCATGGAAGCCTTCAGGTGGGAAACTGTAAAGACAATCAGGCCGTCAGGCTCCAGCCCTCACAACCACTGTGCGCCCCACCCCCATACCTGGCAGGACAGATTTTGCGGTCCAGACCTGAGACCACAGAGTCATCCAAGCCCGAGTTCCAATCTTGAATCCACTGTTTCCTAGCAGTGTGTGTATTTGGGTTTGTCACTTAACCTCTCTGCATCTCAGTTTTCTCACTTATAATATGGGGAGACCCACAGTACCCACCAATAGTACAAATACTAACTAAAGTATTTAAAATGATACTCAGTGTTAGTTTTTATTGTTAACATAGGAAGTAGAAAGCTTAGCATCTCAGATCTATGGAAGCGAGGCTCTAAATGGACCGTTATTACCGCTATTCAGATAAGCATCTTCTTTTGGTGGAATGCGGCTGATTCCTGTCTGCATGATGCCCTTATTATAGACCATGGAAGACAGTTCCCCACTCTGGCCACTAGATGGCATGCATGTTCTTTCCTGCCCCACCCGAGCAGGGCCAGAATCAGAAATAACGTGCAAGAGATGGAAAGCTACCTTTTTGTGGGCCACTCGGCTGCACCCTTTGCCTGCATTCTCATTTACACCCCGCAACAATCCCAAGATTAAAGGAGATATTTCACCAAAAATGCTAAGCATAGTGCCTGGCACATGGTAAGGTCTCAAAAATTGTTTGGGATACTTTCTATTGCTGTTGCTGCTATTCTCCGTTTTACGGAGTTGGGACTGAGACACAGAGAAGATGAATAGGCAGCTAGGGCCTAGATTCTAAGCCAGACCTAATTGGCTGTAGGTTCAGCATCTTTTCCCCTAAACTTTCCTCCCTCCTTTCCCTCCATGCACCTAGAACTACAGTGCACTCCTGCCTGGTTCCTGACTTCTTGGAACTTACACTTCAAAATGGCCTCGTCTGTTCATTCTTAGGATGGCTCCACTCCCAGTGTGTCTTCTTTCTTGAAGCCCACATACATTTAGGAGCTACCACCTGCGCTTTGCCCTGGGGTCCCTCTGCAGGACCCAGTCACTGTGGGTCACACAACGCAGACCCCATCTCCTCTCCCACTATGCTGCTGCTTCAGAACAAGCCCACAGATTTTTAGGTGCTGCAAGGCATCGTCAAACTGCTGGACTACATTCATTCTATGTCACCAGTGGCTTTCAAATTGGCTTTGGCATCAAACGGTTTTGCTGGGGTCCCTGGGGGCCCTTTTGGGAGGGAGACTCGTGATAGGAAGATGGGGTCATGAGAAGAGAGCTCACGGGCTCATCTGTGCTTACAGTAGAACAGCTCTGTTTTACCTAATTTGTATTCCGGAATATACCTGAAACACATATTACATGAAATATTCTGCTGCTACAGTAAACCTTCAAAACCACTCCACTATGCCACGATAGGTGGAAAGGAGATGAATTTTGAGACAATTCAGAGAAAATTTCCAGGAAAGAGAGTATGTTTAGGAATGTGTTTTCAAATTAGTTTCCAAGGTACTAAGTGAAATAAGTCAGACAGAAAAAAAAAAAAGTTAAATACTGCATGGTATCACATCTAGGTGGAATCTTCAAAAAGAAAAAAGGTAAACTCATAGAAACAGAGAGTAGATAACTGGTTGCCAGGGGCTTAAGGGTCGGGAAATAGGGAGAGGTTGGTAAAAGGGTACAAACTTTCAGCTATAAGATGACTAAGGTCTGAGGATCTAATGTAAAACATAATGACTATAGTCGATAACACTGTACTGCATCAATGAAATTTGCAAAGAGAGTAGAATCCTCCCCCCACAAAAGATAAATATATGAGGTGATGCATGTGAATGGGGAGAATCCTTTCACCATGTATATGTCTATCAAATCCCCATGATATATGCTTAAAATACCTTAAATTTTTGTTGATTATACTTCAGTAATGTTGAATAAGCAAATAAGTAAATAAAATTAGTTTCCAAGGAAAATAAGATTTGACTTTCGGGGGTTATCTGGGACCCCACTTGCCACCACCATGGACTTTAATTGGAGCTGGTCCCAAGCTTCTGATCTCGGTGAGGCCTTTGGCCATGTCCTGCCAATCTGCTGCTCAGGACTATGCCCTTTCTGTGTTGCAGTGCCCTGGTTCCCAAGAACCATTCAAGAGCTCGACAAATTTGCCAATCAGATTCTCAGCTATGGAGCGGAACTGGATGCAGACCACCCCGTGAGTCCATGGTCCCTCTGATGAGATTCTATTAGTACCTCCCCTGCCGCACCAGACTCCCCGCCCTTCCTTTGGAGCAATGTGTCTTTGTTTGCTTGTACCACAGACATTTATTGAGTGCCTACTTAGACATCTTCAGCAACATCATTATCATGGTTACTATTGTTGAAGCAAATACAGATCATTATCTACATCCAGAAACTATTGTTTATGTATCATATATGTATGTAAGTGATGTGTATACACACACACACACACACACACACACACACATATGTAAATTACCTTTATTTCTGACTTGGTCCAACTCCAGAGGTTTAAATCAAGCATTTCGGAAACACTAAACTACTAACAACTCTGCCAGGTACGGTGGAGCTGTAGGGAGTGGTGACACTGGAACTGGATTTCAAAGCCTGAGAACACGATGCTAGTCCAATAAGGAACTGAGAGGCTTTATGAGCTGAGGGTACAGCATATGCAAAGGCTCAGCGTTCTGAAAGTATCTGGAATATTTGGGGAATGGCTGGCTGGTGTGTTAGGTGTGAGCGTTTGAGAGTGTCAGATTAGGAGCCTGGGCGGTGGGTTGTGGTCAGAATTTAAAAGATCTGATGTATCTGACAGAGAACACGGACTGTGTCCCATGTCCTTTAATATTTCTAAGTGAAGGACCGGGGTCAGGGATCTTAATCATTCCCCTTTTCTAGGGCGCAGTGTTCCAGGGAGGAGCAGCCCGTAGGTGAGAAATGCCACCATCATGTTGATGGTCTTTTATTCTCTGCCCAGGCAAATGGTTCCTCAATCTTTAAATGACGTGGAAGCTGTTTTCTTTCACAAAAGCGATGGTTACTGTAACTTACTGGGAGCCTCTGCATTTCTTCAGGACTCTGTTTTCTTCTTCCACTTATGTGGTCTTTGAGCAGGTTGTGAACTTGCTCTTCACAAGGGCTCTTTTCAGTAAGCAAAGCAGATGTTCCCATTTTACAGATAGAGTCATTAAGGCCCAACATGAGTAAATAACTTTTCTAAGGTCCCATGCTGAACTTTGGATCCTTTGACCCTTACCTCAGTGCTCATGGTGCCTGAGGACAAACGTCTAGCCAGTGGCAGAAATTCAGGCCCCTTCACAGAGACAAACAGCAAGCTATTTTGGGGGTAGGCTGGCCTTTTAAAATATGAACAGTTGTTGTTCCAGTTCAAATCGTAAAACCCTTAGAGTGGACTCAAAAACACAGAAAAGCATGAGGAAGAGAATGAAGATAATCCATAATCTCTTTTTTTATCTTATTTATTTTTTATTTCTCTTTTCTCTCTTGGTACTATTATGAATTTTTTTACACTGAGAAAGTGTTTTATAAACAGAAGCAAAGGTGAATTCCCCCCCCCACCCCGGCTCCTAGGCTTCAGAACAGAAAAAACAAAAATCACCTATTACACTGTCCAAAAATAATCAATATTTTATTTCTTTATTTAGACAGACATGAATATATATGTTTTAAATGCAGTGCCATAACTTACTAACCAGCCCCCAAAAGCAAGCTTGTAGGAGGTTTTCAGTCTTTCACTGTTATGATAATTTGGCAGTGAATCTTTCTGCCTGTGTGTGTGAACTCCCAGAGCTTCTTTGATTCTTACTTGTGAAGTTACTTAATCTAAGGATAGAAATTGGATTTCAGGCTCCTCATCTTTAATTAATTAATTAATTAATTTTTATTGGAGTATAATTGCTTTACAATGTTGTGTTAGTTTCTGCTTTATAACAAAGTGAATCAGCTATACATATACATATGTCCTCATATCTCTATCCTCTTGCATCTCCATCCTTCCCACCCTCCCTATCCCACCCCTCTAGGTGGTCACAAAGCACCAGGCTGATCTCCCTGTGCTATGCGGCTGCTTCCCACTAGCTATCTATTTTATGTTTGGTAGTATATATATATGTCCATGCTACTCTCTCACTTTGTCACAGCTTACCCTTCCCCCTCCCCATATCCTCAAGTCCGTTCTCTAGTAGGTCTGTGTCTTTATTCCTGTCTTACCCCTAGGTTCTTCATGACATTTTTTCCCTTAAATTCCATATATATGTGTTAGCATACGGTATTTGTCTTTCTCTTTCTGACTTACTTCACTCTGTATGACAGACTCTAGGTCTATCCACCTCATTACAAATAGCTCAATTTCGTTTCTTTTTATGGCTGAGTAATATTCCATTGTATATATGTGCCACATCTTCTTTATCCATTCATCCGATGATGGGCACTTAGGTTGTTTCCATCTCCGGGCTATTGTAAATAGAGCTGCAATGAACATTTTGGTACATGACTCTTTTTGAATTATGGTTTTCTCAGTAGTGGGATTGCTGGGTCATATGGTAGTTCTATTTGTAGTTTTTTAAGGAACATCCATACTGTTCTCCACAGTGGCTGTATCAATTTACCTTCCCACCAACAGTGCAAGAGGGTTCCCTTTTCTCCACACCCTCTCCAGCATTTATTGTTTCTAGATTTTTTGATGATGGCCATTCTGACTGGTGTGAGATGATATCTCAATTGTAGTTTTGATTTGCTTTTCTCTAATGATTAGTGATGTTGAGCATCCTTTCATGTGTTTGTTGGCATTCAGTATATCTTCTTTGGAGAAATGTCTATTTAGGTCTTCTGCCCATTTTTGGATTGGGTTGTTTGTTTTTTTGATATTGAGCTGCATGAGCTGCTTGTAAATTTTGGAGATAAATCCTTTGTCAGTTGCTTCATTTGCAAATATTTTCTCCCATTCTGAGGGCTGTCTTTTTGCCTTGTTTATGGTTTCCTTTGCTGTGCAAAAGCTTTTAAGTTTCATTAGGTCCCATTTGTTTATTTTTGTTTTTATTTCCATTTCTCTAGGAGGTAGAGCTAAAAGGACCTTGCTGTGATTTATGTCATAGAGTGTTCTGCCTATGTTTTCCTCTAAGAGTTTGATAGTTTCCTCTCCCTGCAAAAACCAGAGGTAAAGTCGGAGCATTTGGATGCCGGTCCCATCTTCCTGGGTAGGATGCAACCCAGTCCCATGTAGCCCTGGGGATGGCAAATGTCATACAAGGAGAAGCTTTACATCCCCTTTGATGAGTCAGTGTCGGGCCGCTGTGCCCCGGGAGCAAGGCATTTCCCAAAATACTGTTTCTACGAAAAGCTGGCCACCCTTGACCCCATACCTGGTATGGGCCCCGTCGTGTTTTCTCCTCTTCCCCAGCTGCCTCCTCCTTCCCTGTCTCATGTCCCATCTATTGGCCACGTGCCTGGCTCACGTGGAACAGTGGGGGAAGAGGCCAGTCCTCATATATGGCCTGTTCCCTCTCTTTATCCTCATGTCTCCTCAGAGGCAGTCAGGGCTGGGCTTAAAACTCCCCTGGAATTCATTGTCTTTACAGATCCGGCCCATGTCTTTGGGTCCCTGGCCTCTCCGTGTCATGCATTTTACCATAAAACTATAATTTATCAGGTACACAGTCCCCCTGACGAGGAGGCCAGGCTCTCTCTGTTCCTTCCTGTGGCTTCTCATCAGATCCCAGGAACTCATGGGCCAATGTCAAGAGTAAACCCTCCAGGGTGCTTCCCTGCAGCCTCTGGGCCTCACAGGGCCTGGCCTCGCCATGAGGAGTGGCTGGGGTGTCCTCCCCGAAAGAACCCTCCGTTCCTTGTGGTCCCCTGGTGTTCAGAATGATCTCCCCCTGACCCCCTGCCCTGGCAGCATGCGCTGACTTTGGACCCAGCAACTCACTTCAGGGCCTCCAAAACAGCCACTTTGAGAAATGAGACCAAGGAAGATTGTTCCTGAAATGCAGGGTAAAGGGCATTTGCCTTTCAGCTCGCTAGTGAAGCGGGACCGTGCAATGGGGCAGCTGACCTTTCTTCTGCCAGCAATCTCCTGCCTTCTCTCCATCCTTTCTTCCTTCCACAAACATTTATTAAGCAAATGACATTCACAGCTAGCATTTCTTCAGCGTGGACTGTATGTCAGGCACTGTGCTGAATGTTTTATCCACATTTTCAAAATTTGAACGTTATAACCATCCTGGGAGGATTGTATTTTCTCATTTTCAGAGGAGAAATCTTAGACAAAGAGGGCTGTGTGGCCTCACGTGTATGTGAACTGTGTGTGTATGTGAACTGTGTATGTGAACTGTGTCCCAAGCCGCGTAGAGGAAAGGGGGTTGAAATGAAAGACATGGTTCCCGCCCTCCAGGGGCCTTCAGTCTCGGGGTAGAGGAGAGAGGGGTGCCCACTCTTCCCAAGGGATGCCGGAGGGGACTGGGATACAGCTTGGCAGGCGGAATTCAAGTGGGTCTGCGGGATTCCCATTTCTAAAATGGACTCTCCTTTCTCTGACCATCTCCCAGCCTCTGTGCTCCTGTTCATGTCATTTCCTTTCCCCGGGACACGTTTCCTTATCCTCTCACTTCTTTCCCTGCTGGCAAACCTCTCTTCATCTTTTAAGGCCCAACTCTTATATCTAGGTTTCCGTAAAGGCTTCCCCCTGCTTCTTTCCCCAGGCCAAGCTTTTCACACTGATGCCGCAGAACTGTGTGCACTGTGTTTTATACTTTGAACACAGAGTATCCGATCAAAATAAATTCACTACCTCATAGGACTTCTACAAGGGTCATGAGCATGATTCTCAAATTGTAGTCTTTGAAAAGAAATTCATGATCAAAGGGAGAAAGGCTGTATTCTAGAACCTCATTTTAAGCATTTACAAGTCCCATTATCTCATTAGAGGCTTTGGAAAATCCTGTAAAAATGAAACCCATTCAACCAATGCCCCTTAAGTTTATTTACCCATGGAACCCCTTTTTCATGGAATACCATGCAATATTATCTTAAATGGTAAGTGTTCCATGAAACACAGCTTGGGTAATATTTGGTTAAATCATAACACACAAAGTACATGATTAAACACCAGGTTTAATGAGTCAGATAGCATATACACTATCAGTTCTAAGTTCACGATCAGTTCTAAGGTTCAGT